AGTGGGAGAACTTGCACAATTGGTGGCTGACTAAATACTTTTTTGCCCCACTGTAAGTAGCCTATTTATGGCCCTGAATTTTAATTTGATTTGGTACAGAACAGCTTTATATGACTGCGTACAACTCAAATATGTGTCCACTTACTGCTTTCTGTGATCTTTTTTTTTTTTTCCTTTTGACTAATGTTATTCTTCTTTCCATTTAGTTTTCAGGACTTTATCTACTGTCATTCTTCACAATCCTTGTTGGCCTGTTGCTGTACTTCTCTACATCCACATACATTGCCCAAGATCCACGGGTGTACAAGCAGTTCCGAAATCCTTCAGGACCTGTTGTAGACTTGCCAGCCACTGGGCAGCTAGAACCTTCAGTAACATACACCAGCCTTGGCCAGGAAACGGAAGAAGAATCTCATGTCCGTGTCGCCTAAACTCAGGCCCTTGCCACCCTTGGTGGAGTTTGTATCACCATTATCTCTGTATCATTCATAGAGAAAGGTATTTTCCAGATGCAGTTACTCCAGTCGGCTGCAAGGTAGCAAACAGGGGAGGCTTGTTAAAAACAACCACCACCACCATTAAAATCTTTCCAAGAATCCTTGACTAGAAGCTGTAACTCACAGCCCTTTACTTAGAGCAGTGCTTTTCAATCTGGAAATCTCATTAAGGTTTTCTTAAGAAGTTCTGAAATGGTATGGAAACTTTCCTGAAGGACAGTTTGCCTACCTCCAAATTTCCACTGGAATAGAACCAATATGTATCTTGTAGAGGGCACACTCAGTTGAGGGTGAGGCAAACAGGCTTGGCCAGTGCCATATCTGAATCAAAAATCTACCTTACCTACCCTAAGACTCTTCTGCAGTGTGCTGGAGAAATGCAGAAGACTCAGTAGATTCTGAGGTGGGGGGAGGGAAGGGGGAAACATCACAAGGAAACTGGTGGGCAGGCGTCTCCCAATGTCACTTCACTAACCTTTTCCATATAGAACACTGAACCAACAGTACAATATTAAGGACTCTGAACAGAATGAAGATGACTTAAATTGCTCTGATTCTTAGCAGAAATGCCATTTAAGTCACAAGATGCTATGACATAAAAGATATTGGAGATGGTTTTTAAAATGTTGGTTTATAGTGTCTTTTGTCCAAAGATTGACTGTTTGGGAACACCATATCTAACAGATAGGATGAACTCTGAAAGATAATTCTTCATTCAGATATATTTTTCCTAACCGAGCAGGCAAAGTGACACTGGTAGACTATTTTCCACTATTACATTCATACATTTTTCATTTAGAAAATAAATGAAATACTGAGAAATATTTTTGTGCAGTTTTGCCTAGATGGGCTTTAAAAAGAACGTCAATGCAGGTGATGTTGATGGGGAAAAGGGATGAGGTGAGAACTGAATACTAGATGAGAATTGGAACAGTTGACTATGGATGGGTTATCTTCAGTTCTTTTCAACCCCTAAAGCTCCCACCAGTCCTTTCACTTCCCTCTTTCCAAAGCAAAACAAAAACAAATAAGAACCCCCACACACCCACACACCCACCTTTACCTGGGGAAAAGAACTTTACAAGACAGCGTCAAATGCTCCAATCAATGGGTAGATTCCAACTGGAGATCTGGGACTTGACTACAAGTCCCCAAATCCCTGTCAGGAAAATTCACTCTGCACACCAGTTCCCACCAAGAATGAGTACTCTTCCTCAGTGACAAATACTTTCTGGAACATTAAAACAAATCTATATTCAAATTCCAAGTAGCCAGTGGGAAAAGATACAAATTTTTGCATCTGAAAAAATGCCTGCCACCGCTGCTCCTCACCTCCTATTTTTGGCTTGGGGAAGTGGGAGGGAAAGAGGTAGGTGTTGGATAGGGCCTGTTTAGTGTGTTTGAGTGAAGACTTGAAAACCTCTGAGTATTTTCAGGATGAATGGGGATGTGATCACCGATTGCTAGTGGAAGGGACTATAAGTATAGGAAGTAAGAAAAACATCACTGTTGGTAATTAGCACTTAATGCAACAAGGGAAAAGCAAAGTAGGGCCATATGTACATAGACCCTATCAACTTTTGTCCAGTTGAGGTACACAGAATCTATACCCTAGTGCCATTGTGTTCATTCAGCTACCTTAGCTACCTGGTTGCCCATTCTCTGAAGCCTTTCTTAACCTGGGCCTTCCTGATGTGTTGGGCAGAATTCTGTCACCTCCAGCCAAGCTGCCTCGGAGTTCCACTCCAATGCCTCTCGAAGGCCAAGGTTGGGGAAGATGGCTCCGAAGAAGTTCTGGGAAGCCATGGATGGACAGCTACCAGTATTCATCTCTATTCTAGGAATAGGTTGAAAAGAAACTTTTTAACCTTTTTTAAAAATATGTGCATAATAGTATAGTAGTCAAACACTGACCTTTTAAATATTTTTTACAGTAATACTGCGGGCAGCTGAGGTTTGCCATTTGCTGATGAGGAAATTACATTTCCACTTTCCATGTCTTAACCTTATAGATACAAACAAGTTTCTCGCTCTTCGCAAATTTAGTTGCTACTAAAAAAAAAAAAAATGGAACACTTTTATAGACATTCTGTCCAAGAGAGGAACACAGGAACAGCAGACCTGTGCTGCTCTCATTCACAATCTGATACTGGCCAGATGTGAATTGTTTAGAACTCAATATGTTTAGAGTTTTTATGCTTTACACCATATTTCTAGGGGGGAAAAATCTACATGACTGATATTTCTTCTGAATCTTTGTCCATTGTTTGTTTTTGCTTTCAATCAATAATAATACTTAATATTCATTATTTCCGGTATTGGAGCTCTAATGTTATAGTTCTCATCAAGATTGACATTGTGACTGCATCTCTCTTTGTCTCTCTCTTTTACACACACACACACACACACACACATATGGTTCCCCCTTCTGGTTGCATTGGCCACTACTGTAGAGACAGTGGGATTCACTAGGGTTCAAATGATAAATGGTGCTAGATAATGTAGGCAAGGAAGGGAAACTAGTCCATTCCTGGTTCCAGATGCAATGGCTGCTTAAATCCTTTGTCTCCTAGTAGGGACTGCATATTCCTTTTCTTAACCAAATTCCTCTGGTCACTGTTCAGTGGCTCATGCATTATGCTCAAACTGCTTTATTAAAATATAGCCTCATTTCCTGTTTACCACTGGGTTAGGAAAAGTACACAACTGATTTTTCCTCTCTACAAAATTAGTTTAGTAACTCAGCAGTAGCTTTATTTCCCTCAAGAATATTGGGCAAATCTATTCTTTTATAATTATGTATTCAGAAATGTAAGAAAGGGTTACAAATTACAGAAATGTAATCATCTGAAAGAAGTTGGTGACACAACAGTTCTCAAGATACCTCCCACTTCCCACCTACACAGAACTGGACTCACTTGAATGGCATTCAGTTTTCATAACTAGGGGCTTGGGCTGGATTATGGCTATAGTTCTTACAAAGAAAAAGAGGCACAATACTTAGATGTTCATAGTGTCACAGGCAATCCTGGGATCATCTCCTGTCTTTTAACATCAGAACAAAGATACTTCTTTGATTTGTGTGCCTTGAAGCTGAACGAAAAACAAAAAAGTCCTTGATTTCTCTAGAGCCTCTAGTTCTTGAAAGAAAACCAAGATAGCTATTGGTTCAATGATAGGAAAACTTTTCAAGATGTGTTGTTAGAATGGAAGAATCAAATAACTTCATTTAAAACTTACTCTTTCTACATAGTTGATCACAAAAATACTAGGGCTGTGCACATTTCAAAAATGAATCGGAACAAGTACTTTGGATCCTCGGTGGTATGAATACAGCACCTCTCTGCTCTTCGTTAAGAGCCAACTTGGTTGGTCGGCTGACTGGCTTCAGGTTTCTGAGTGAGCCTGAAAAAAAAGATACATCTGTTTTAAGCCTCACAATGTAGATGCACTAATTTAATTATTTGGTTCATTAAAGCAGCAGGATCTTTTTTTAGGCTAACTCAGAAGCCTGAGGAAACATGTTTGTTTTAATAAACAGCAAAGAGCTGTTGTGTTTGCAAGAGGTCTGGAGCACTTTTTCCTAATAACATTTGAAGCATGCCCAGCTTTATAAAAATACTATTTTACCTACCTCAAGAGAATGAGAGCAGAGATAAGGCTCTAGAGCAGTGTTTCTCAACCTTAGCAACTTTCAGATACGTGGACTTCAACTCCCACAATTCCCAAGCCAGCATGGCATCTTAAAGTTGCTAAGGTTGAGAAACACTGCTCTAGAGGTACTGGATTTTTCTTGAATGAGCTTAGTTTGCCAAGAGGCCTCTTTCTTATCTTCTTAGTACAGAAATCTTGCAGTTTGCAGTGCAGTCAAGGTAAGCTACTGCATTTTTATATGTGAAAATTATATTAATGAAGTCCATTCTTTAAATTGGTCTTCACATTAATCATAATTCCTGTGAGAGCTGCATGTTATGGCACCATCATGTGACTATGCTTTCACACATTCACAGAGAAATGGGGAGAGGAAAATATGCAGTATTCCGTTTTGGAATTCCATTAGGTATAATTATGGTAGTACAGAACTAGGGGTGTGCACTACTTGAAAACATGTTTTCTTTCAAACTCAAATAATTGTGTTCCAGAAGTTCTCCTGAACCATTTTGGATCAGGCCTGGTTCAGAAGAAAGAAAACCTGGAACATTTGGTTGTTCTGGTTTTCAGCCCAAACAAAATCCAAAGGAATCCCAGAGTGACTTTTCACAGAGCGAAGAGCACAAGATCGGTGCATGTTGCCTTCTCTCTCCCATACTCTTCCATGTGGCCTGTGGGCCAGACCACAGCACCCTCCTTCTCTTTCCTCTCTCTCTTCAGCCCACAGCTAATGTCCCACCCTCATCCCAATCTTCCCAGGGCTTTCCCTTCTCCTTCCCCTCTAGCTACATCTGATGTTTGCATATGCCAGTGCCAGAAAAATCCTTCAGCCTTGGCGTTTTCCCATTCTTAGGCTCCCCAGTCAATTCTGACCAGAGGAATCATGTTTCAGTCCATACTCAAAATAAAACTGCCCTGCCTTGTTCTGTACACAGACCAAAACATTTGAAACATATGATTTGGTCCAGGCATGAACCACCTGAAATAAGCTGTTCCATGTGCAAAACTTTATGCACATGGAACATTTACACATTCCTCTTTACAATCTAATGCCCTCAGATAGCAACCTGACACGCTGTAGCACTAACTCCCCTTAGCTATAGACAGCATGACCAATGGCAAGAGATTATGGGAACTGTTCAACACACCTAGAAGTAAGTTTGCTCACCCCGATTCACCTAGTTTATAATTCACATGGCCCCCACTGGTTTTCTGCACAAAGAAGAATCCAACAGTGGCTCTTGGCAGCTTTTCTCAACCAGCTGCTCTCCAGATATAAAACTAGAAGCCCCAGGATTTGACTATTTTAGTTGGGAATTCTAGGAGTTAAAGTCCCATTATATCTGGGAGGTGCCAGGTTGGGTCATT